TCAACAAATTTTCATTCAATTATGTACAAGTTTATTTAATTGTGTGCAGATATTTCCTATATATACATATATACATGTATTTTCTCTCAATATGTAATTAGTAATTAAATTTAGCAATTAGTAATATTTGTGAGGATATTTCATTAATATCCAGATTTCAATATAGAATGGAACCTCGATTATCAGAACAAAAGAGGAATTATTAGTAATCTTGGCTTTACTATGGAAGATTAACAAGGGTTTATTATGGGAACATCGATGGAAAGAGAGGGATGCCTAGTTACGAGGAAGATTAGGAAACGAGAATAGAGAGAAACTAGAAAAGTCGATATACCGTTGTTAAGAAGATTTTATTCCTTTGTTACGTGTTAACATCTACAAAATAGTTCAAAATAAATGATCTGCGTATGGGAAATAGGATTATTCGATTATCCGAATTAAGCACGCTATTCGGATGGTAATCGAATTTCTACTGTATTTTTATATGTCGGAGATGAAGGGACATCGGGCCTTTCTTTTGGAATTTTTGGAAAATCCCCAATACTTTGGTCTAAACTATTTATTATAGCTGTACTTAAACAATAGAACTTAGAAGTAGTTGTTGCGATACGATCTGTTTATGTTTGCCCGAGATTTGTGATAGTGGGCTTGGGTTCGAGGTGACACAACTGGTCGCCGAACGTAGTCACGGTCACGGGATGAACGTTCTTATCTAACGGAAGAAGTACTAATATTGAGGGACACACGTTGTGCTAACAAACAAGCCCCGGGCAGGAGCAATGTCGGCTCTAGGCGGGTCTGCCTAGTAACGGTGCCTGGAATTTTGTTGATAGCCCCGGTCAAAATGCAATTGACAAATGTGATCGTATCAGTCTCTTATTCTTGTGATCACCTTGGAGAGTTTACACACATCGTTTGATCAGTGAGTCAGAACGATACCGAGGGTCACAGCTAACGTCACTTTGTGTTTCAAAATATATTCTATTGAACAAAGAGTTTTCCCCTTTGACCGCGGATTCGTTATTGAACCTAAGAACATTGTCTTTAATATCTAGAGTGTCTAATCATCACGGTTCATTGTCAAACTCTGTAAAATCAACATTTGTACATGTCGGAGAAGGAGTCAGGAACAGGGTTGTGGACGTTTGACGGACCTCCCTTGGAGTTGGCCATCGTTGTGTGATAACGAAGATACGGCCTGATGCTACGGGTATGGACACCACTGATTCGACAATCAACAGCGGGGGGT